AGGAGGGACTGGTTAGGAATGTGAATCTTAAGGGTGGCCTTGGCTGCAGTGGCCATGAAATGGTGCAATTTAGCATCCTGAGGATAGCAAGGAAGCAGAACAGGAAGCTTACTACTCTGGACTTTGGGAGAGCAGATTGTGCCCTCCAGGGATCTGCTAAGTAGATTACAATGGGACAAAGCCCTCGAGGGAAGAGGGGCCCTAGAAAGCTGCTTAATATTCAGGGATTACCTCCTCCAAGCTCAGGAGCAATGTGTCCCAACAAGGAGGAAGTCGGGCAAAAACACCAGGAGACCTACATGGATGAACAAGGAGCTCCTGGCCAAAGTCAAACAGAAAAAGGAGGCCTACAGAGGGTGAAAGCAAGGACAGATAGCTTGGGAGAGATACAGAGACATTATCTGAGCAGACAGGGATGAGGTTAGGAAAGCTAAAGCCCTGTTAGAATTAAATTTAGCTGTGGACATCAAGTGCAACAAAAAAGGCCTCTATAGGTATGTTAGTGCTCAACGGAATGCTAGGGAAATTGTGGGGTCTCTCCAGAAGGAAACAAGAGACCTGGTCACCCAGGACATAAATAGTTCCTATTTTGCAAGAAGTAAGCACCAGAGAAGAGTCAGGCCAAAACCTTGTTATCAAACTGGTGAGGGCAGTGTACATTTATGTTCCAAATAGAGAACTGAGGCCATGTTTGTTGGTTCTGGAATTAAGCAGTAAGGAAAATGCTTATTCAAAACTAAAGGATGGAAGCCCAACAGTTTTTGAGATCTTTATAAATTATGCACACACCATTCCTGTCCTGCAGTTTGGTTTCTCCTACTAGTGCTTTTATTTTATTTATTTTTTTCCCATGGATTTATTTGACAGATATGGAAATGTTAAACTCTGTGAACATTCAAAAAATGACTTAAGTTTCTTACTTTACTGAACACTAGCCAGCTCGTGCATGCAGAAACATTGTCTTCCAGAAGCATCACTGAGTATGCCAAGGCATGTGCTCTGCTTTACTAAGGGCAATTGCCAAAGCATTGTCAGAGAAATAAAACATTCCCGGTCAGTCAAATCACTCCAAACTTTATCATCAGGAGGTAGAAGAGATTCCCTTTTTAAGTAATGACCTCTTCATTATGGAAAGTGTTTTATACAGTAATAATATGCTTCTTGGTGTGAATATTTGTTTGTCTGTCCCCCAGAACATTTTCTGGAACTTTGACTGATTTCAATAAAATCTGGCAGATGGCTAGTGTCTCAAAGACAGTACATTTCTGTAAGGGCTAGAGTAAAGTAGTCAGCCAAATAAAAGAAAGTAACTTAACTAGGAAACCTCTGTTAAACACATTCCACTGTAGGAGAAGCTTCAATGTGAAGTTATCCCTTATTGAATGCAGAATCAACACAAGCGTTTAACATCAAAATGTTTATCTGCTGGAAATCAATTTAATTTCCTCACAGCTGAAAACCTAAAGGGTGCATTTTGTGGTGGTTAGGAAGATGTATACACTGACTGTAAGTTGGTGCATCCATAACAACTTGGATGAATGATCTAAGTGTGATTCAATTAAAATTCAATTTACTGTAACTCACTTAAAGTTTCAGGGGACCAAGAAGACAGAAAACTTTAGGAAACCAGACCCTATTAAGTCTGATGCCTGTGTAACTACTTTTTGTACTCTTTTTTTTTTTTTTTTTTTTTTCCCCACTGGAATGGAATGAATCCCCTATGGATTCATCACTTAATTATTCAATACAATTCTGAAAGCATTGAATAAGCCCCTTAGTCTTTTAGCCCTTGTTTGAAAGCTGTACTTTCTTATGTAAACACTTATTTTCAGCAGCTAAGTCATGAAGGCACTTCAGCTCCCCTGTCCTTTCTTCCCCATCCTTCCTAAGATTGTCCTGTTTGTCTCACCTAGCTCTTGTGCTCTGATATGCCATCAGTATACACCAGGATAATGGTCTTGCTTGTTTGTGACTTTGACCTTCACTCACCTTCCTACTTTTAGGTCTTTCTTTTTGGTATTTATATCAAACCACTATTTCTGCTTTATAAATTCAGTCTGAAATTTGAATTTTTCTTTTGTTTAGCATAAATATAAATTCTTAACTCTTAATTTCAAATTTGTTTCCTCAGTATTCAGTTAGTTCTTCTGTAGCTTTCTCTTTAGGTTGCAATGTATGTAGGAGGTTATTGTGAGAGAGACAAGACTTGACGGACACCAACTTGAGGTTCTGCTGCCTCTACTGGTATCATATCCCAGGAAGCTTTTTCCAGGTGAGTCCACGGATATATTTACCATGGCATTTACTCAAACAAAACGGACTGGGTTGCCCAGGGAAGTGACAATAATCATTGGCCCTGGGGGTGTTCAAGGAAAGGTTGGACATGGTGCTTAGGGACATGGTTTAGTGGGTGACATTGGTAGTAGGGTGATGCTTGGACCAGATGATCTTGAAGGTCTTTCCAACCTTAAAGGTTCTATGATTCTATGAAAAACCTGCCCAACATAGCGCTGTACACAAAAGCTTTGCATTTTGTCTCCCTGCGAGCAGGGGTCTTACTACCTTGCTGAAATTACCCATAGCCATCTTCTGGACACTATTTTGGATTTATTGCATGATCAAGGCCCAGTCTCAAAGGTGAATTCCTGCCAATCTTCAGCATTGTACAAGAAATAGATCTCTTTCATGTGTAACCTCCTGAGAGTTAGTCATACTGACCACAGCTTTCAGGATGCAGGGACTGCTCTGTCACTCTCATAGTGCACAGGAATGATTTTACAGAGTGTTGGAAGGTTGGGTTAGAATTTGTGTGAGTGGACAGGTGCTACTATTTTAGTCAAATGCTGGATAAGGGATGGGAAGGATTCTGGTGTTTCTGTTGGAGAATCAAGTGGAAAAGGTGGCAAAGAAATACGCCTCTCACAGACCCTGGAGAACCTGGGAAGCAGGCTGAGTAATTTTAGCTCTTTGTGTTTTGGCCTGTGTTGTTCCTGGTTTGACAACCACATTTTCCCCTTTTCTCCCCTCTCCTTGATCCACAAGCAAAGGTGAAAGAAAATTTGTTCATGAATGATTTCTCCAAGTGCTATGTGAGGGTCAGTCCTTCTGGTGGAGTCGTCAAGCAATGTGACATACCGTATTTCAACACTTGACTTAATGGCCTATGTCCTGGGGAATGAACCAGTGGGGAAGGAACGGGTGGAGGGGGAGCTGTTTGTGTTACCAGCTGTGTAAATTTTACTGCAGACCGTGTGTGGCATGGGGATTCAGATTCTCTTCCTGGTTCTGTGAAGTTATGCGTTTGTAAATGCCACCACAGTGAGTCCTTCAGCAGTTGAGAAGGAAATGTCTCTAGCTGACTGTCAGTCACAACAAAAAGGTTTGCTGGTTCAGTGAGGTGAATAATGATGAAAACTCCCTTGACTTTAGTGCAGTAGTGGAGCACACGGTATGAAAAATCAACAGCCTGTGGCATTAGCAGTGGGGAAGGGGCAAATGAGGAATGAACGAGGGTTGTTGTTCCTTCTGCTTTCTGAGAACACAGGGAAGGAGAAAAGAGTGTCAGGGACCAAGTAACTGAGAACAAGTGGGACAAATTCAGAGGCAGATTAAAAAAAAAAAATAAGGAAGCTGTTTCAAAACTGGTCTGAACTGAAGAGAGCAGAACTAGAAGCAAATGATTCATGTGCTTCAATTTCCCAGAGCAGCTTCAAAATTCTGAAGGGTTTGTAGTTTCATAGGGCGAGGCACAGGTCCATCTGTTCATTTCACTTGTGTCTCTTGGAGAAATTAGTAAGATGTTTAAAAAAAAATGGACCATAGCTTTGGCAAAAAGAGATGGACTTAGAATAAATCTAAAAACTTAGAATACATATAAATGTTTGCATCCATTTTACCTATTTCTGATTTTTTCTAGGCTATGGTTTTTGTGGGGAAGATTTTTCTGAAAATGGGACTGAGAAAGGTAAGTTAGAAACCCAGCTTTCTGAAAAAGGACCTCCTGGTTATCAAAAAATAGGAAAATTAATAGTGAAGTGAGTTGCAATGCGATATCAACTAACATTTTTTTTTTGCTGGTAGTAGGAAGGTGACTAATACATTTTTCTTCTTAGCATATTGAAGCCCATGACTGTATTTATCTTACTGACTTTTACATAGCTGATGCCTCCATTCCTCTGTATTTCATATAACTGTGACTCACTTATTAAATAATAACCTTATTTATATCATTTCTCTCAATCTTCTATTTTATCTATATATTTAGCTAAGGAGGCAACATTTTATACAAGTTACCAAACAGAAAACATGTTCAACAGATGAAGATTGCAAAAATTACATGAGAGAAGTTAACACAAGAAACATATATATATGAAACATATATATAAAATGGTTTTTGATCTCCAGCCTGCCTAGGCAGACGCAACTCTATAACTCTTACCCAGTTTGCCCTTTTCTGCTACAGTGAAATAGTGTTTTTGTGGGTTTTTGTTTGTTTGTTTGTTCATTTTCTTCTTTTCTGCTACAGCGAAATAAAATTATTTGGTACATGGGAATTTTGGAGATCCTCACCTGCTTATCTGACTTCTCTACCTCATTTTCTGTCAAAACGGCAAGAACAAATAGGCATGCCTTGAAGCAGGAATCTGAACTATGGATAACAGGCCATATCTGCAGTTGTCAGCAACCCTTGCTCTTTCAGTTTCACTAGAGTTACCTTGAGTTTTGGCTAGTGGAGGATCCAGTCCATTAAAACATTTCATTGAGATACGCTCCATGTCAAAGTTTAACTCCCCACTGAGAGTTTTTGTAAGGATTTGCTGCTGATGGAGTAAATGTATAACAGGAAAGTACAACTTCTTTCCTTTTCCTGGTTCTAGTTTTGTATTTGTGAGACTGTTTAGGTAAGTTCCAATCAAAAACATGAGATAAAGATACAGAATCTTTATATGCATCTTAGCAATTGCACAAACGGACTAAAGAGAAAGTCTGTGACGCTGAAACAAGCAGGGGGGCAACTCTGCCATCTATCTCTCCAGCCAAATGAGCTCACAAAGCAGTACTGACATACAGAAAAGTACGTTAAAATATTACTGAATTACAAATATGTGGAAAAAGACCAACTATTTGTGTTTGGGAATATTAGCACATCCTGGAAGATAGGTTGGGACCTGGGTTTTTAGGTATGTATAGGAGAAAAGGAGAAATCTGAGCAAGGTTTTCTACAGAATATCCAAAAACATGAAAATATAAAGAAGCAGGCTTTTCTGCTAAGAGTTTTCCTTTCTCCTGATTTTTTTTTTCTCTCAGTCTGGATAGATTTGGACCTGTGTATAATAAGCTACATGCAGAGGTAAAGCTTCTATTTGCATACTATCTTACTTTCAGTTTGTATGCCTTTGATTTGTATGTTTTAAGGGAATGGATTATGAAAGGGAATACTTTTACTCATTTAGGTTTCTAAATTAGACATTGTTGAGAGTTAAGAAAACCACTAGTGTCTTAAGGAACAAGAAACCCAAAAATCTAAACCTGAAGTCATCCTCAGGAGATGTCCTCCTTCACAGGGATACAGCCTTCTGCTGCTCTTATCTCCTACCCACACTCTGGCCTACAAGGACCTTCTTCCTTCTCTGCACATTTAATCTCTCAGGGCTATAAAATAGCATTTCCCCTTAGAGTATGAGGAAGGGGCTATAGCAAACTCCCAAGTACAGTCTTCTCAGCTGTTGGCAATCCAAGAAGACCTTCTGTGGTTTCTTGGAATTGCTGCCATGCATTTACTGTAGGAAAACACCAGGGACACATTTGCAAGGGAATGTGTCAGACTAACTCTGGCAGCCAAACCTGCAAATCCCGTAAGTTGCATTTGGCAATGGCTGGCTAAATAGTGCTTTCCAATGAAAGTGCAAGAAACCTGACAACAGACAGTGAAGCAACAGCTCACCAGTAAGAGGAATGTATTCCTATCCCTCCTCAAGCAATGAAGCAGGACGGTTTGTGTTACACCATCTTCAGTAGCTGTCTGCTGGCCAGAGGGATCTGATAGCCATGGTGTGTGGGGCTGGGGGCTGGGGAGCTTTGTTTACTGCTGTCTATGTGATGTTTCCTGATGACTCTTCACTGATGTTGATGTAGCTGTGACATAGCTGAGCTATGTAAAGGAGCTTTGCTGATACTCCAAATCGAGGAAAATACTATCCAAAGGAGCAGTAGAGGCATGGGGAGTGGCAACCTTGAGGCAGGGATTGTTATTTCTGGTGGAATTCATGGTGATGAGTGAGGAAGTATGAAGACAGAGCAGGCTGCGTACAATTGTGACTGTTTTGCGTTAAAGCCTTTGTTAAAACCTTTTTTAAAATGATAACCTGATCTTTGCATGTCTTCTGACCCTTATTTTCCTCTGAAGACAAAGTTGCTCATATCCTTTTGTACTCCAGACATAGGAGGTTGGGCAGTGAAAACACTAAAATGATTCGAACCATAACAGGTGAGCACCTCTGATAAACTAAGGGGATCCTTGATATTTTACCTAGGGCTAGACTGAGCTAGCTTTGTTGATCTCAGAAATAAATATACTACTGTAATGTAATGAAACCTCTAGATTGAGAGAAATACTCCTTCTGTAAGTAAACATGTTGGGTCAAAAGCATAAATGTGCTACTGTTCACGTAAGTGGTGTTTTATCAGTTTGCTAAGTGCTGACTCTTAACTTACAAGGCTGAATTTACCATATGATACACTCAACTTCGAGAAACTGCTTGTAGCAGTAAATAAACATTTCTGATGTAGAGTGATAAGTCTCAAAGCCACAAAACCATTTTTGTTTGCCATTTAAGAATCAGTGGCCTGAAGAAAAAGTAGATAAGGAAACATATTTGTTCTTTACAAACAGCTTCTTTTTATGTTTGGCAGTTCACACAGATTTGAGATAAACACCAGATAAACAGGGATGGTTTCTAATTCTCGCTACATAGTACCCAAGAAAGAGAAACAATGCCTTCAAGGTTTTGTGTTGCCTTTTTAACTGTTATTTCTTTCAGATTGGCATTTTTTAGGAAGTTTTCAGGGCAGAAATGTGAATTGTTCCTTCTTTCTGGAGCTGAAGGACCAGCAGCAATTGAAATTGTGCTGCAGTCCCTCATCATGTGGGCAGGTGCCTCTACGCAGAAAGTCTGGCAGCTGAACAATACCTGCATACCTTCTGTACTCCATCACAGCATGATAAATTTCTCTCAGTTTCCTATTCCTCTTGCGTAGCCCTCTTGCTCACATGGAAAGATCTCTTCTTCGGAGTCATCACCTTATCTCTGTACTACCACTTTCTGTCCTGCATTTCAAGGATGGGTATAATGTCTACAAACATTAGATTCACGGGAAGAATGCAAGCAGTCCTGATAAAATGCAGGAATTATTAACACCTGACAAAAATGCATAAGGGGTTGGTAGCCTGTCCCTTAATTTATAACAAATCCTGCTCCTTTCATATTCTATGGTCCATACAGAAAGGAATTAATTTCTGATCACTACAGGGGGTATTCATTAATAAAGAGTCTTTCCTATACAACTTAGTGAGTCAGAATTCAAACTGGAACAGAAGTGCACCATGTATCCATGCCCATTTTGTAAATACTCAAAAATTAAGAAGTGAGTACTAAGTACTTGCAAGATATGCTTGTCATAAATATGAAGTTATAAACATGTACACCTTACTAAAGAAAATACTCTTGTTGCACATAAACCAGGTACTTTTTTTAATGAGCGATCAGAGAATATCAGAAACAACCTAAGCCATTATGATTTTTGTTATGTATTGTCTATTTATTCAGTGGGGTCTGTGTCCCCAGTGAAGGTCCTAACACAATTCAACAAAGAACAAAGTCACTGTTGTGTACATCGTCTGATGTGCCATGGAACATATATAATGAGTGCTGAAATTAGCAGCCTGTATCAGGCTTTTCAGTACATCAGTGTGTGAAGGTAGATGGCAGTCAGCTGGTCATATAGAGGTATTTATTCACTATATTAAAAGCTTTTAACTGTAATGGCCATAGAACTGTGCAAATAGAAACCAATTAGTGTTTGAGTGGTTTTGCTAAAGGCTGCATAATTGCTCGAACAGACAAGAGGGTATGAACACTGAACATGAGACTAAAATAAGTATATTATGGTTTACCTTAATATAAGGACAGTCACATGGCTGCCTTTAAAGGAAAAAATATGAGCAATTAATCTTGTAGTACATTCATGTGGTAAGACTGAAATCTTTATAAATTATGCAGTAAAGGTATTTAGCATCAAATATCCTTTTAAGTCTAGCAGTATTTTTCAAAACATTTACACAGTTAGTATTTGACATAAAGTTTCTAGTGATACTGATAATATAAAAGTGATGTAATTATAACGTTAACCAATAAAATAAGGGGTATAAAATACAGAACCAATGCAAGTACTTTAAAACGTATTAGATTTTTTTAAAAATAATCAAATAACTCTTCTTTCCAACATTTGCTCTTCTTGCTTCACGTAAGAAAAAAACTTTGTGAGTATGAGAAGAAAAACTGTTGTAATATATTATTACTAAAAGCTCCTAGACTATTAGAATTGTTTAAAATAGTTCCTAATGTACTGTAATAAATACTGAAAATGATACTTTTTTTTTTTTTTTAAATAGCTTTTTAACTAACCTGTCATTACTGAATATTCTATGCATGTATTTCTGTATCTTTGCATTTAAATATTTTGAATAGTTTTAGAGACATATTTACTTCTGTAAATTTTACTCCACATTTTCCATGTTGGAAATCTTTGATTTTTGTTAAAGTTGAGTATTCCTGGTATTCCTAATGTCCAATACGTCTTGACACTCTGGCTTTCAATTTACACTTTAACATATGTTTTTGTGGGTTTTCATGACTACTGTCTTCATGTGTGTGCAGGTAAAATGCATAACTTTAAACGCTTAACAAGTACCTCTTAAGTCTGTGTTTTGACAGGCTCATGATCAAGAAATCCAATACATAAACAAACTCTGCTCCCTTTCAAAGCAAATAGTATAGTGTATTGTTTTCATGTAAACCTGAAACCCTTTGTAAAGATCCATCTGTGCCAGAGAACTGGCTGGGGGAGCCTCACTTTTAACAAAGCCTCATGCTGAAGAACCCAAATTTGCTAAGTGAAAATAGCTCTCCTGAGTATCATTTTAACTGAGCAACTGTGGCGTCCTGGGAATATACTAGTATTTTGAAAACACTATATGCTATCTCATGAATTAAACTTTTCTTTTCCTTTTTCTCTTTCTTTTTTTTTTTTTTTTTTTTTTTTTTCCCATTTTGATCCAGTTTGGTCTAAAACTCCTTCTTTCTTCTTTATCAGCACTAACGGTCACAGTAGATCACTGGACTGATGCTGAATTATTTTTTGCAGAGCTTAGATGTATAAATATCTGTATATATCTGTAACTAGATATATAGTAGATACTAATTTAATATATTTGTGTTTGGTGATAGCTGAAGACAAATATTCATAGCTTAGTTATATTTGCTGAAAAGTAAAAACAGCAAAGTAGTAAAGACGAGAACAGTTTTAATGTAGGTTATTGTATAGAGTACCTATACTTGGAAGAAAATATAGACCTGGTATGGTCACATTCAATGTCTGTATTCTGATCCTTTCTCTGCAGTCCTCTTTTTCGGTGTTATTTTTAGACTCGGATCATTCAAGAAATATAGCCATGCTGTCCATATGCTCATTTCCTCTGTTTACTTATTGCCGTATGGGAGTCCAAGAAAAACTTTGATTGCTGTTTCAGCAGTGACCACCAGACCACCAACTTTTGGTGAGATGCACTTTTAATGTCAGAAATGTGGCCACTTATAATGTTCAAAATGCTTTCATGGATGTAAAAAATAAAACAACAACAACAACAACAACAACAACAACAAAAAAAAAAAAAAACACTTAGCAATTGCACAAGTATTTGTTTATGTCTTAGAAGAAAGGTTGTTATGCATTGATGAGAAAAGCCTGTCCCTTCTTTTGTATTAAATGTACTCTAACACCCCAGCAGCAAACGTATCTTTAGTCAATGTGGTCAGTGCCTCTGTGTAGCTTCATCCTTGAGTCTTGCTAAAATTCTTCAAAGTCACAAATAAAGATAAGGATAATAGACTTTTAAAACCATTTTCCTGATCCCCCCTTCTCCTCTCTCCTAAAGCTGATCATTGAAAGTCTGCAAATCAGATTAGAGCAATTGCAGCTCATTCCCCAGAAAGTTGTAAGATACCAAGGCAATTGCTCCTGGAAAATGCATTCCAAGACCACAAGACCCAGTCAAGATTTTGCAGGCTTATATCCACTACGCATTTGAAAGGGATTGTTCAGCAAGATCAACTCCAGGAGCTCTTCATCTGTGTCCCTTCTTAAAACATCAAAAATTGTTGCAAGGTTTTACTCTAAAACTGTCATGGGACGCATAGGGTTAATCACTCTTTCTGTATGCTAAAGAGCTAGGAAGCATTGGCAAGTTAAAATTGTAACTTTTTTTTTTTTTTTTTTTTTTTTTTAGACAACCCAAATATGTCTAATTTCCTTGCTACTTGAACAGTCTCAGTTGGCAGAAAACAATGTGGTATCATCTTGCAATTCCCCATGGACCCTTTTATGTCTTAGAAATAAGTAAGGGACTGAAGGCAGCTGAGGATGGGCTGAAAGGACTGCAGTCCTTGGTCGTTGTAGTTGGGCCTGTTTTTCTTCTGTGTTACACAGGACTAAAGGGGATGCTAGGAGAGAAATGTTAGAGAGATTTGTTTTGCTCCAACACAGAGTCAGCGTACAAGGACTGTTTGGAACAGATGCACCTGCCTGGTAGGTGCTGCAAAGTATGTGACCTAGCTGTGCTGTCATCTTTTGCTGGGGAGTCTCTCAATTGAAGGTTTCCTTCCCTCTCCAGCTTTTTGCACCATTCCCTGGTGCAGCAAGGCAACTGATCCTGGAGGGAGGGGGAATCTTGCTGGGTGACTGCGATCTTCTAAGTGAAGGGACTCTTTGTATAGGTGCGTGAAGTTCATTGCCCAGGAGTGTATAAAGAGTCAGTGTGGGAGGAAACCTTGGGCTCCCTCCTTGCCCAAGTAAAGCAACAAACCTTTCATTGCTATCTTGCCTCATTGCTCCTCAGACACCGTAGTCTTCTCTCCTCTGCTGTTCTATGTGATGGCTGCAGGACTGCTGAGAAAACTGTGCATCAGCACCACAGGTCACTGCTCGGTATAGGTCACTCCTTGACTCTGCTGTGGGGTCTGTCAGAGAACATGAACTGTCGAGTACCACAGGGCCTTTCTGGAGATTCAGCTGTGCTAAGTGCAGTTTTGCATCTCTACCCTTGAGGTCTTTTTCTACCCCAGGTTACAGTGCTCCACTTCACAGATGTATGGAACTTGGGAACAGAAGGAGGAACAGAAAAGCAGATTATCGGACAAATGTACATTTAAGTGAGTATAAAGACCTGCTGCTTCCATCTGGCTATTGAATAAAACCTTTCTCTTTTCTTCTTGCCTTATTGTGTGAGCTCAACCCTCATTACCCATCAGAGAAGCCACAAACTAATCACTAGTCATGCAGATCTGCATGAAACCTGACCTGGTAAAAATAAAAACAGCTCAGTGGACGCGTTTTTCTCCTCAGAGTCTTTACTAAATTGTAGATGCATCCCTCCAAGTGGACAATGTATTTTGGTTATTTGTTTTTCTTCAAACTTGCTTCGTCTGCACATAGAAGTCATATACTTTTACCAAAATAAAATATCTATCTAACATGGATGTAATTTGAGTGATATCTAGAGTTTATTTCTACACTGTGGGGAACCACTTTCAATAGAGTGTAATACCTCTATACTGCTATAGTCATGGTCACACTATGGGCTGTGCTGGTGCAGGAGTAACAAATCATGCCTCTTGAGAAAGTGGCTGATTGTTTTTCCTAGTAGAAATGATAAATATTTCTCCACACGAACTTGCCCACAAGTAAAATGAACCAATGTACTATTAAAAAGGCAAATGATTTTACATACTTACAAATAATGGATTTTCACTTATCGAGAGGTTGCAGCTAATTTCACATGGGTTATCACCTATCTGGCACGTATTTTCCCCTCACCTGTCAACACTTGAGATGGGCACTAGTTTGATTTTTGTTGTATTTATAATGTTTATTTCTTACTGGGGGAATGTTTCACATAAACCAAGATTGATCTTTCTTAAAAATCTGTTCTGCACTACACCATCATATGGCCCATGTTTCAGTTCCTATGTGTGCATGTATGATGTGCGTTACAGACTTTCAGATATTCCTAAAAAATTTACTAGTGGAGTTATTTATTACAGGGCATTTAAAAATAGCTCTGTGTTATTTCAAACCGTATCAGTCAGATTCAGACCTGGTGATCCATTAAGCTAGGTGTGCAGATGAGAGATATTGTTCCTCTTTTGCTCCCCTGACTGTGCATGCCACTCAAAGTCACATACAGCGATCATTCTCCTTTTGACAAAGTATTTACCCCATTGACTCAATGGTATCAGGAGATACTGTACTTATGCATGAAGGAACAAAACCATGAGGCAAAAGTTGCCTCAAAAAAGGTAGGGGGTAGATGTGTAGATCCTTATCTTTTGTAACCACAACAAACCTCACTACATTGTATTGTATATTTTTACGTTAACAAAATTGAATGAAAGGGGACTACGTACTGGAGCACCTCCCAGTAGATCTCCAACAAGGATAACATTTTACACATATGGCTGCTATTTCTAGAATGTGATTGATTAGACAAGAGAAAAAGAAAAAAAAAAAAAAGTGGACTTCATCCTGCCCCCTGTTGGATGTCTACAATGGTTGCACAGGATGTCTTTGTTTCTCTTTGTGGTGACTGGACAGCAACAGGATCTTTTATAGTACTATTCAAGTAATATAATTAATAACAGAGTATTGAAAGGAGGTCAGATGAACTGTATCACAAAACTTGCGGGCTCAGGACTCATGGACAAGAGGTTGTGTAAAGGAATTCAGTGCAGCTAGCCCTTCTCAAATTATTGTACCATCTCACTACACTTTTGACTATTTCCCATATACTTTGAGAAAATGGAATTACCTGAAAATGCAGTTAAAGAAACAGAGTGAGAACATTTATATGCAATTATATAGTTTATTCTGATGATGATTTATTTCTCTTTCTTATGATTAATAGTCTGCAGTAAAAAAAAATACTAGTTTCATAAGTTTATTCCACAGTCTTTATCACGTTTCTAAGATTATTTTCAAAGGTGCTCAAATTTCCATTTTCTCACACAAATGTCAGTGTCTTCTCCACAGCACCAGCCTTTCTTGGACTTGTTTCAGCCTGCTGGATTTCAGTTAGATGTTGAGAAGCATTGATTGAAACTGACAGCAAAGAGAACTTCCTCTAATATAGATAATACTGCAGTATTCATGAACTTCAGGAAAAATGTTTCATCTTCCTGATGCATGGCTAGCAGATTGTATGTGCATAGATGTAGACAGACTGCCTGCTAACTCATTTTGGTTTGGTTATATGCTAAAAGCATTGATCAATAAATAGTTGCATGGCCAAGGAATGAGCAATGTACAGTAAGTTCACAGAAGTCAATGGAAATATGCACAGTAATGTCACTGGCTTTTGGAGCACGTCCCACCTGAGGAAGTAAAGTTCAGTCTCTCACGCTTGGGCCAGCAACAGGTAGGCAACTGAAAGTTTGTTGTGAAAACAGGTCAACACAACTGCAAAGAAGGTCACATCCAGTTAGTTCACTGGCACATTACTTTGATGTGAGAGAAAAAATATAAAGGATTTTCCAAATTGTTCAAAACATTACTTACTGTGTGTGACTAACAAATAAATGAGGCAATTATAGGAGGAATTTGCTGCAGCAAACCAGGAACTGGTTGCTGTAAGAAATTTCCAAATTAATATTAAATTGTCCTTCTGGATGGAAATCTGATGGGATGTCACTGTAAATCAAAAACACTCAGAACTGTACCAGACATGAACCAAAACCTGTTGAGCCACTTTAGTACAGTCACGCAACTCTCATTTACAGTATCTCATCTGTGATTAGATTATGGTACATGAATGTTTCCATGAACTTTGCTGTCCAGGTAAAAACAGAGAACCAACAGCAAGGTATAAGTAAATATCCATAGAAATTAAATGACAGTGTATATTGGTCAAAGTGAATGCCAGTAGCAGAGTTTAGGGAAAGGTCTTCAGACAGAAGTATTGGGCATGTTGCTTTTTTCTCTTTTTGCCTCTCTGAAGTTTAATCACTGAAGATAGTAGGGTAAAGCTTGATATTTTCAAGATGATCTCTACATTCCTAAATATACTGTACCAGTAATACTTCAAAAATTCAGAGCAGTACTCCAAACTAGAGTAATTTGCCACATAGAATTGCTTTGCTATTTTTGTTATCGTTGTTGATTTTCCAGTAGAGCTAAAAATACCATGAATCTTGACTGTTCAACAACAACAACAAAATACTGGGCAAACAACGTAGAAGTGGTCCTTGGCTCATTTGAATAGCACCTATTAGAGACCCTTAATAGGTGACATAAATGATTCAGTGACTCATTCAGCTTTTACCCAGCATTCGACATTGTTCCCATCTATCATGCTTATCACTAGAAGATGATGTTTTGCATAAAGAACAACTTTACAGATCAAAATTTAAGATTACACATAAATTCAGTGAAGGAGAAGTTACTTATTTCATGGAGGTCTGATTCCAATTTGGAGTATTTTTTTTGTCTGTGAAACTTGCCAACTATTTTCAAGTAAACATAGTGCTATTATTATCTTCAACTCTGTAGTTTTTCCTCTGTGCTCTGCATTTCTACAAATAGCAATCACCAATCCACACAATATTCTTAAAAAACCTTGTGAAGCCAAGTGTTAAAGGATGAAAGGCCCTGAATTAAGGTGAGATAGTGTCATTACTGGACATGTATATGTAGTTTGAGTGTAGAAAATGCTGCATGTTGGATAGTAGAAACATTTATTCCAGTAGTTTTCATTCTGTTTCTGGTACTTTTTTTTTTTTTTTTTTTTTCTGTAGAAATTATCACTTGGAAAAGGTTTTCTGGAGGAAGACAATAACTTTCTGCTTTCCCTAAAGCTTAACTACTGCAGACAGTGGGGTGAAAGAATATATTCAGTGAAGAACCTGTCCTCATCTGTTCTTACCTAGTTTTGCATAATTCTGCTATGTCACTAAAAGCAAGTTACATTGTCCTAAATGCTGGCCTTGGGCCCATATCTGCCTTGCATCTCAACCTGAAGCTGTTTTACTTGACCCCTAACAGCCTGACCATGGAGGGAGGTCTGTTCACCTCCACGTAGCAGGCTGACCCTGATGCTGACTTGCCAGCCAGCCCCTCTCTGCAGAGTGTTGGGAGTTCACCCACGTGCAGATCTTAACGCAGAAAGCTGATGGACAGGAATTGCATAATTCCTTGTTCCTGGCTTCTGACCTGTCAGCATACCATCTCTCTTATTCTGCATGGAGTAGAGAGATGCATGGAGGAAAATCAAGTTCCTGCAGAGACATTCCTCGCAGGGATGGAGATCACATGGCAAGAGGATGCCCCTTTGGCATCATACGACCTTTGGCAGGAATCTTGGTGCTGACTCGAGAAAAGCACATGGTGTGCACCGGTTCAGTGCAGGATACAGGACCTCATGTAAACGGAGGAAGGTGACTGGTGGAAGGCAAAACAAACCAACTCTTACCAGTACAACAGTATCAGCACAGATAGATACCTTCTAAGTGATCTTCATTATTTGGCAATTGTGGAAAGCATGTGCATTGAAGCCAGGTTCCGATCTAATTCCAAAATAAGACTAAATAGTTCTGGCACACAGAACACTTCTAGTCCTGTGTATATAAATTACTGTATGCATCCTTTAAAGCACACAGCAAGAGTGACCGAACTCTTTGTGAGCAAGTTAGACAGATCTTTTCAAATAGGTTGCAGATGCAGCATCATATTGTTCTCAGTGGCACAAAATGAGTGAATTTGGCCAGCAGATGTTCCCAGGTCTGACAGGGACTGCTGGAAGCTATGTTACAAAGAAAGCTGTAGTCAAAGCTGATGATGGTAGTGACAAGACCCCTTTTTAATATGATAGGCTTTGAATGAAGACAACAACCAGTTTCTTTTCTGTTCTCTCTTCTCTCTCTTCTCTCTCTCTCGAAAAGGGAAGGTATAAAGTGGGGAAATCTTATAGACTTTGCCAATCTTTTCCAGCATTTCTTGCTTTTAACTCCTGTACTGCCTGAATTCCTCTTATTCTAGGCTCAAACTATGCATGTGACAGTTCTGGCTTATGTCTTGATTTTCAAAGGGAATTAGTCAGGGTTTTCAAATGTCTGTTCATATAATTGCTGACACAAAGTTAAAAATAGTATTCCTAAAAATA